TCTTTTGGAAGAGTATCTTCTGGAATATTCCATTCGGGGCAACCAAATTATTCGAACCGACTTTGTCCGGACGCCACCAGAAACCCCCAAAACGGTAGGTAGACATCAGTCGCCGCTTTGCGTTACTTTTTTGGTTACAGATATCACGTGCATTAACACGCCGCTGGTTTTGACGTCACGTGGTTTCTGCTTCGTCCAAGATAGACAGATTTCAATCCATACACGCCACGTGTAACTTTTGGATAGTGTGATATTACTTTAATATCGTAGACCGAAAAGCACCGGATTGAAAAACCCCTGGGCTTTGCCCCCACGCCAAGTGGTACCCTAAGAAGGAAAAAAAAATAAAATAAAATCTACGTCCTCAGATTTGCGTTTAAGTCTAAACCGTGGGAAGAAAGCAGTTTGGTTATATATAGCGGGCTTTCGGAGCATTATAGTTGTTTCTGCCTTCTTCAACTCTTCTCTTCCACACACCACTTTGGTCTTGTGACTCTTGAGGTATGGCTTTTGGCTTCGATATTTTTCACGACCCTTTGGATTTTTATTTGATGTCTTTTTCTGTTTGTTTATGGATTTGTTTGTATTATCAGTATGTGACTGTCTGAGTGTGATTTGTTTGGCTTATAAAATTGGTGGGCAACTGGGTTTTGATTTGGGTTTTGTGTGTTTTGTGTGTGTGAAAGAAATAAGAAAAGAGAAAAATGGGGAGCTCAGGTTTTAATTGGAAATTGGCGGATCATCCAAAGCTTCCAAAGGGGAAGACCGTTGGGCTCATAGTTTTGGATGGATGGGGTGAAGCCAATCCCGATCAGTACAACTGCATCCATGTCGCTGAGACCCCCGTCATGGATTCATTTAAGAAGGTATTTCCAGTTTCTTCAGATCTGAGTTTTGGAATTTGGATTGCTATATGGTTTTGTTAAATCTTAGATATTTGTTGTTGAATGGAAGGATTTGATTCATATTGAGTGTTTGTATGTATGTTTGATGTTGTGACAGGGTGCTCCTGAAAGATGGAGGCTAGTGAGAGCTCATGGAACTGCTGTGGGCCTTCCTACAGAGGATGATATGGGCAACAGTGAAGTCGGCCACAACGCTCTCGGTGCCGGGCGTATTTTTGCCCAGGGGTGAGTTTCAGACTTGCCCTTCAATTTCTTTTACGTTCTTTGTGTTATTTTTGATATGTGTTTTGTTGGGTTTCTTGTCTTTGTAGTTATGTTATACTATGATATACGAATGATTAGAGTTTATGTGGTCACAAAATAATTATATTCGTTTTTGAATGAATATAGTGCAAAGCTTGTCGACAGTGCCCTTGAGACTGGGAAACTTTATGAAGGAGAAGGTTTCAAGTACATTAAGGAATCTTTTCCTACTAACACATTGCATCTCATTGGTTTATTGAGTGATGGTGGAGTCCATTCTCGGCTAGATCAACTGCTAGTGAGTTTTCTAGGCTCTGGGCTGTTTTTGTGTTTACGGGTTTGGGTTTTCAACTTTCAGCTTTCCTATTCTTTTATCTTATATTCTGTTCGTGTCTTTCTCTCTTGGTGTAGTTGTTGGTTAAAGGAGCTAGTGAGCGCGGTGCTAAAAGGATCCGTGTTCATATTCTCACTGACGGCCGTGATGTTTTGGATGGCTCAAGTGTGGGATTTGCGGAAACACTTGAAAATTACCTTGCAGAATTGCGTGAGAAAGGTGTGGATGCACAAATTGCGTCTGGTGGTGGTCGCATGTACGTCACCATGGATCGTTATGAGGTATATTGAGTAGAGTGAACTCTTAAAGGTCTTTCCAAATGCATGATGGTTACAATTTCTTTTTGAAGTTTTGCCCATTGTGTGTATTTTAACGGATTACTGTATGTTTAGAAGACATTTCTTTTAACGAAAATGGTTGCTTTATAGGCATAGATAAGACCTTATTCATAAGTTGGAACTTGGGATGTGAATAATTGAAATGTTGTGAATTTCATGATCTGCATCCCAATGCTTATGGAATTCTGCCCCTCTTTTATGTCTGTAAAAAGGGGGTTTGTCAATGTTTTCATTTGCTTGTTTTATATGTGTTTCCAGAATTATCAGGGTTTCTTCAGTAAAGTTTTCATACATACTTTGTATTTCCCTATATTTAGTTTAAGGTTGTCCTCAGTTAACTGTGGATCATCTCTGTTTACTTGACCCCTGAATTCTTCCATTCATTATCAAATTGTTAATTTATATGGATGATTGGTATTTTGTAGAATGACTGGGGAGTTGTAAAACGAGGATGGGATGCCCAGGTTCTAGGTGAAGCTCCCCACAAATTTAGGAATGCTGTTGAAGCTATCAAGACGTTGAGACAGGAACCAAACACCAGTGACCAGTATCTACCTCCTTTCGTTATTGTTGATGAGAACGGAAAGCCTGTGGGCCCAATAGTGGATGGTGATGCTGTTGTTACATTCAACTTCCGCGCAGACCGTATGGTTATGATTGCCAAGGCGCTCGAGTATGCTGATTTTGACAAATTTGATAGAGTTCGATTCCCTAAAATCCGTTATGCTGGGATGCTGCAGTATGATGGTGAGCTGAAGCTTCCAAGCAAATACCTTGTAGAACCTCCAGAGATAGACAGAACATCTGGTGAATATCTAACGTACAATGGTGTCCGTACTTTTGCCTGCAGGTGAGTTTTTGTTATGAAGTTAATTATCTGTAGCATTTGTTACCCAGTTAATTATCTGTGTTGCTGTCAAGTGCTAGGTTTCTTTGTGTTTGTCGATTTGTCTTTTCCAAAACTGTTTTTGACACTATGCCAAATCTGGGGTTGGGAGAATAATTGATTTTGACCAATATGCTCATATCAGAATTTTCTTTTCATGTCTGAACTTTAGGCTTCCTACTCTTATGACCCTTTTCTTTCCTTCCAAATCTTTGAATGTGCAGCGAGACTGTTAAATTTGGCCATGTCACTTTCTTCTGGAATGGGAATCGTTCTGGGTATTTTAACCCTCAAATGGAGGAGTATGTGGAAATTCCAAGTGATAGTGGAATCACATTCAACGTCCAGCCAAAAATGAAGGCAGTGGAGATTGCCGAAAAGGCGAGGGATGCTATTCTTAGTAAGAAATTTGAGCAGGTAATAAATAGACTGATCATGTGATATCTAAGAATCTATATTAGATTTTTGTTATCTTTATAAAAAAAGAAAAAAAGAAACATGTTTCAGATTTAAACAATGTGTTTTGTTTTTCTTTAGGTACGTGTAAACCTACCAAATAGTGACATGGTGGGGCATACCGGTGACATTGATGCCACAGTAGTTGCTTGCAAGGCTGCTGATGAAGCTGTCAAGGTATGGTGGCTATAGCTTTTTATAAGAGTTTGAAATCAAATTTGAACGAAAAGGAATTATGAAATAAGGATACTATATCCGATGTGTTGCATTTATATCAAATTAAAAACGAATAGAAATGTTTGATTTCACTACAAGATCTTTACTTGTAAAAGCTAGTTATTGCTGTATCCCCAAATTCTTTCTTGATCTTGTTCCCCAACCACCTTGACTGTCTGTAAAGGGTTTAGGTCTCCTTACTGTAGGTGCTATTGTCTGATTGCAGATAATTATTGATGCAATAGAGCAAGTGGGTGGAATTTATGTTGTCACTGCAGATCACGGTAACGCTGAGGATATGGTGAAGAGAAACAAGAAAGGGCAACCTCTTCTTGACAAGAATGGCAATATTCAAATTCTTACCTCCCACACTCTTCAGCCAGTAAGTTCTCTGAATACCTTTTGCATATTTATAAGAAATGCATATGAAATGGTAGTTTGGCATGTATCATGGCCTTTCGTAGTCATCCCTTTAATGCCATTAAACAGTAGTCCTTTGGTGCATTTGATCATTCAGAATCATCAAAATTGAACACTGTTACTTCCACGGGTTCTCATTGATTGATTGTCTTGGTTTTTCTTTATTAAGGTTCCAATTGCAATTGGTGGTCCTGGACTGGCACCTGGCGTCCAGTTCCGCAAGGATGTTCCCAATGGTGGGCTTGCCAATGTTGCTGCAACCGTGATGAATCTGCATGGATTTGAAGCTCCTGCCGACTATGAGACGACACTGATTGAAGTTGTTGATAACTAGGCAGCACGATAGAGGAGAGGGTTGAATCTAGTATTTCATAAATTTTGACTTAGGTTACAATGTCATGCAAAGAGGCTGTCGATTTCAGTTGCTATTACAGCTTGTTATTTTGTTAAATAAGTTATAAAACCATGCATGCTCACAGCAGCAGCTGTGTGCTATGGTAATTGGATCACTGTCTCTGGAGGAGGACAGGACAAGAAAGATGAAAATGGATTTTTGCTATTTCATGCTTTTATCAATTATCGTGGCGGTGTTTATGATAACGTTTCTTGGATTGAAGTTTTAATTCTCAGATGAATAATTTGTCATCCCTCTAAATTGTCTATTTCTTTTTTAACAGTTGAAGTTCGAGAAAATCTTAATAGTAATGATGTTGATATGAGGACTAAATTATTAGCGTAATATCACAGGGTCTTAAAGCTGACTGATTCTGTACCACATTGTCATTCATAAGCCATGAACTCATGAACTCCGAGTCATGAACTCGTAAACTCGGCTCCTCTAACAAAAGTGGAGATTAAATACCGTAAACTCGACTACTCTAACAAAAGTGGAGATTAAATACCGTTGCATCATTTGACGAGTTTTTGCTAATTTAATTTGAATTCCAGTTGATATGATGGGTTTTACTTAAGCATTGATATACAGTTATTATGTCGCTTATCATATCATTTAGTGATCAAATTAAGTAATATCAAATAAGTAAATAATAAATAAAACACTGAAATATCAATTCCGAGTTAAAAATGTAAGATTTTTTCTTTTTATACACAAAATAGACAGGCACACAGAAATATTTTCGATTAAGAAATGTATAAGTATCTCTTCGTTGTGATTTTCTGATCGCATAAAATGGAAACAAATATATTGGAAAGCGAGGGGGGAAGGAGGGCAAGTGAATTCAAATTTGGAACGTGAAGGCAAGCGCGGGACACGTGCTGCCCTCTCCTTCCCGTTCCGTTGGGCAGCACCTATGCGCTCCTTCCGCCTCCTCCGCCTTTAAATTTAAACTCCAACCACAAGAGAGAGAGTGGACGGTTCGATCCAGAAGAAGAGGGAGACCAGAAATTCAAAAATTCTAGGGTTTTGATTTGAGGTCGCAGAAATGGAGAAATACGAGAAGCTGGAGAAGGTAGGAGAAGGCACGTACGGCAAGGTCTACAAGGCCAAGGACAAGGCCACAGGCCAATTGGTCGCGCTGAAGAAGACGCGTCTGGAGATGGACGAAGAAGGCGTCCCTCCCACCGCTCTCCGCGAGGTCTCTCTTCTGCAAATGCTATCTCAGTCGCTGTACATCGTACGGCTTCTCTGCGTTGAGCACGTCGACAGCAAGGAAGGCAAGCCGGTCCTTTACCTCGTCTTCGAGTACCTCGACACCGATCTCAAGAAGTTCATCGATTCTCACCGGAAAGGTCCTAGTCCGAGGCCCTTGGCGCCGTCGATGGTCCAGAGCTTCCTCTACCAACTGTGCAAGGGGGTGGCCCATTGTCACTCCCATGGCGTCCTCCACCGCGATCTGAAGCCCCAGAATCTGCTTCTGGACAAGGAAAGAGGGATTTTGAAGATAGCCGATCTTGGACTCGGCCGCGCTTTCACTGTACCTCTCAAGAGTTACACGCACGAGATTGTTACTCTCTGGTACAGAGCACCGGAAGTTCTGCTTGGTTCGACTCACTACTCCACCGGCGTAGACATGTGGTCCGTCGGATGTATCTTCGGTACTCAATTCTTACTCACTGTCACGATTTCTCAATTTCGTTTGGATTTAATGCTTCAATTAATAACTAATTAACTAGGTTACTCACTCTATTTGATTCTTGAATTGCAGCCGAGATGGTGAGGAGGCAGGCTCTGTTCCCAGGAGACTCTGAGTTCCAGCAGCTGCTTCACATTTTCAGGTGCTTGTTTTATTTCCCCGCTCAATTTCGCATTTTGATCTGAATTTATTTTCTGGGACTGCGGAAACGGAAAAGCAAAAATTTTACTTGCTAGTATTACTATATATGTGTAGGCTGCTAGGAACACCATCAGACAAGCAGTGGCCAGGAGTTAGTGCTCTGCGAGATTGGCATGTGTATCCACAGTGGCAGCCTCAAAACTTGGCTCGTGCTGTTCCTGCTTTGGGGCCTGATGGAGTTGACCTCCTAGAAGTAAGTTTTCTTCGAGTGCTTAAAGCTGCAATTAACTTGTCTTCTGAACAGTGTTCTTCAACCCTATAACTGTTTGGTTTGTGATTCATATTTGCCATTAAGGAATTTGGCATTTTTTGCCATGTGCAAATATGTACATGATTTGACAAATGTGTTCATTTGTTTGCCAAATTCCATGTGGGCTTATATATGGTGATCTACCTCATTCTGCTTGCCAATACATATCTCTTCATTGTGTTTTTTCTTGGTCCATCTATTCATCATATAAGTATCTTGTAATACCTTTTCTTCAAGAAGACAGTCTCCATGGTTATTTTCAGTTTGCAATATCGGTTCGGATTTTAGGATTTGTTGTGTCATGGTTATTAACATGTTCATTAAGTGGACTCGCTTTTTATGGCTGAATTGATGCCTGATGAATTAAATAGTAACATAATTGGCCTGACTATTGAGTGCCTGCCAAGTTTGAAAGCAGAACCATTACAATGTAGTCATGTGATGAATGAGCAGAACCTGTTTTAGCAAATGTATTGTCATTGGATAAGTACAAGTTTATCAGTTGATATTAGACTGGTGCTGGCTGTTTTATTAGTACTTCTAATTGCCTCTTTATTATTCTGGTTATTCTAAGAGTGCCTTGATTTTGGCCTCTGCAGAAAATGCTTAAATATGATCCAGCCGAGAGAATCTCAGCCAAAGCCGCTCTTGACCATCCCTATTTTGACAGCCTTGACAAGTCTCAATTCTGAAGTTTTTCACTTGTGAGCACAAAGATGCTATGAATGAAGTGCTTTCTCCCGGAAGGAATATGGCATTTTCTAGGAAGTGATGAATTTAGGGCTGCCTTTTTTTCACCTGCTGTTTGGTCAAGTCAGCTGTCATCATCTTGGTGATTTCAAAGCCTCCTATTATTATGCTTTCCATCTTTGTATATCACAATATGATTATTATCCTTGTTAGACAACTTATCATTTGAAGTATGTTTTATAATATTCAGCTTCTTTGTTGGATCATGAATCAGTAGAAGGAAGTGCCGTGTGTTATGTGCTTGTTGTTAGCCATGTGATTTGATTTTGACCCATGAAAATTGCTTCTGTGAAAAAAGGGGAAAAATAGTTAAGGGTCGTTCTGGACCAGACCACCTGGTCTATCTGAAACATGGGTTCTTCTCCATTTACAAAATATGATTTGATGTTTTGCATGATTTGGCCAGGCATTATAATTTATAGCCACAACTTACAGACCAAAACTAAACCAGAGAAGGTAGTTGATAAGATATAACGAACCTAGCAGATTATGAGTAAATCATTTATAGCATATAACTATCCCCTTTTACGTGGAGCAGCCCATCTAAGTCGGGGAAATGGTGGGGTGCTTGTTTCTTCTTCTAATTTGTTGGCAAAGGTTGTGAACCTCTCAACATCACAACCATAAAAAAATAAGGTTCATGTCACAACTCACAAACCCAAAAAAGAACAAGTTGGCATCCTCTGACCTCCTTTGATTAAAAATACAAAAAACATTAATAATAAAATCCCACCAAATATAACTCACTCCACCGATTCTTTTGCAATCTCTCTCTCTCTTCCTCTACTTTGTTTTTCTGATCATTTTTTCCATCTCCATTGTGATCAGGTTCTGTGTGGGGTTTTTTTTTTCCTTTTCTTTTAACATTAATAAACAAGTTATACATGGAATTCTAGTTTAGGTGTTATAGGATCAATCATAAAAACAAATAGAACAAAAGATAGGAGTTGGATAGGGAAGGTAGGGGAATGGAAGGATTAGATGCGCTGATAGAGAGACTGTTGGAAGCAAGGATCAACAGAGGTAAAAGGATTCAGCTAATCGAGTCCGAAATACGACAACTTTGCATAACTGCAAAAGAAGTCTTTCTCAGGCAGCCTAATCTTCTTGAGTTGGAAGCTCCCATCAATGTTTGCGGTATGTAAAATTTCAATTAGTACTTAAATTCTAATTAAAATCTCAAAAGAGAAAGCCTTTTTATGTACATCATTGTCCAAAACCAAAAATAATGTACTTGAATTGGGTGGCTCCAATGAAAACAGAGTATAATTCATCCTCCAATGGTTATTTCTTCTATGTTCTATGTTATGGAAGCAATGAGATCAAATTGTTTGGGGGTTGCAGGTGATATACATGGCCAATATCCAGACCTCTTGCGACTGTTCGAATATGGCGGATTCCCACCAGATGCCAACTACGTGTTCCTCGGAGACTATGTAGACAGAGGAAAACAGAGCATAGAGACCATATGCCTTCTCCTTGCATACAAAGTCAAGTTCCCTGATAACTTCTTCCTCCTCCGAGGGAACCATGAGTGTGCTTCCATCAACAGAATCTATGGATTCTATGATGAGTGTAAACGCCGCTTCAGCGTCCGGCTATGGAAGATTTTCACCGACTCCTTTAACTGTTTGCCTGTGGCTGCAGTCATCGATGACAAGATCTTCTGCATGCATGGCGGCCTTTCTCCTGAGCTGAACAACTTGGAGCAACTCAGAGCCATTGAAAGGCCGATTGATGTACCCGACCAAGGGCTCTTGTGTGACCTACTTTGGTCGGATCCAGATAGGGACATTAAAGGGTGGGGTGAGAATGATAGGGGTGTTTCTTATACCTTTGGGGCAGATAAGGTGGCAGAGTTCTTGATGAAACATGATCTGGATCTCATATGTCGGGCTCACCAGGTCTCTATCTTTTTCTTATCATCTTGTTTTAATCACGTAATTAGAGAGATACACATAATCGTATACAAGCGGTGATAGGAAAGAAAGTTTCAAGTTTGTAACCGTTCTTTTCTGATGAGCTATGTTACATGTACCACATTTACCATCCACGTTTAGTATATGTGAAAATACCTATTTGCTAATTAGTTTCCTCTCCTTGGTTGACAGGTTGTTGAAGATGGTTACGAATTCTTCGCAGACAGGCAGTTGGTTACCATATTCTCTGCACCAAACTATTGTGGAGAGTTCAACAATGCAGGTGCCTTGATGAATGTGGATGCAAGTTTGCTCTGCTCGTTTCAGATAGTCAAACCCTGGAGAGGGAAAGCTCCCCAGCTAGAATAATTTTATAAAGTAACGGGAGTAGAGAGTTGACATTTAAAAGAATGGAGAAAACACGCATGAACCATGGTGGAAGAAATGCAAATTTGTATGTCAGCTACACATTTGTTTTGTATAAAGTCAGCATCATATGCCATTGTTTTCTCCAGCTGCATATAATTCCTGTAAGCGAAGCATTAAAAAGCTGTCTGTGTATATAAACCCTCATATTCATGAACATAAAATGTCTTATATTCTCATAACAAGTAGTTCCTTTTTAACTTTCTGGTGTTTTGCTTAATCTTTTTCGTAACCCGTCTTTATTATTATTATTTTTTCCCTAGATGTGTTTGTGTTTTCTTTAAGCTCATTTGTAAAATCAACTTTACGGGCGGTTCAGAAAGAATGCCGACCAGGTTATCGCCGTCGGGTAGGTCCGTCAACTTTGGCGCTGTTGCTGAAATGCCTCATTCTCCAAGTTTTCGGCATCTTCATTTGTCCTCCTCAATCAAACAAATAAAAAATTCAGTAACAACTACGCGTATGCTTACTTTGCAAGTTGAAGTAAATATGATTGTTACATGGATACTTATTTTTTGCTTTTTGAAAGCGATGGCCATTCGCCTTCTGTTTCACTCCAGACTCTACTTTTTATGCAAGCCTCCTTCCCTTCGTTGAGAAGAGAAAGGTATAGTGGAGAGGTGGAGCAATCGAGTGGGACTTTTGACTCATAAACACACCATTATAGGAGGGTTTAAATTTTGAATGAGAGTTTGACATGACACCTATTTAGCATAAAAAGGGTATTATTGACATTTAGGGCGTCAGTCAACAATCCATAAAAGTACATTTTCGTAATTGAGATTCTAAAAAATCTTAACATGGATAATGGGAAGCAAAATTTAGAAAGCCTGCCTATATTCCCCCAAAAAATTAAGCTCTACACAACGCTACATTAACAATTTCAAAAATCATATTATGATACAATGCAAGAGCACTTCCAGGTCATCTAATGATACAACGCACTTGTAATATACCATATGCACGAAGGCTTGCCAAAATAAACTATTTCTCTAAAGGCAGCTTCCAAAACAAAGTAATGATCTCAACTTCAGTTTGACCACACATGAACAAGACCATGCCTATTTCCAGTATATATCTCATTGCGTTCTTCATCGTAGAAAAGAGCAGTTATGTCTTCCAAAGCCTCAGCAACAGTGCTTCTCCCCAGAGATGAGTTGCTTCGCTTGCTTGAGGAGCCAGCACTGCTGTCACAGTCGTCAACCTTGGGACCGCCATTGCCTGCATTTATTTTGGCCAGGCATTTCCCTGTTAAGATATTGCTGACATGAATAGATCCAGCTGCAAAAGAAAAAAAAAATTATATGCAAAATAATATCCACCACTATTTTCAAGAGTTACTAATTTCTTGCCGTATAGAGAGATTGGAACATGCAAATGAAATACCATTTGCTTCCATCCAATGGTCATCCGAATCAGCCTTGCAGTAAGATATGATAAGATCCTGATCACTTGTTATATAAATGTTATTGGTATTGCAGTCAGGATGCCATAACAAGTGATCCTCAAATGAAGTCACAAGTTCTCCACGAAAGTTCCAGACAGCAACGTTTCGATTTCTGAATGTCAGGAATAGCTGGTTCTCATAAAGAAAGATAAATGCTGATGGAGTCATGAACTCAGTTTTGCTAACTTCCATCAGCTCTGCATTTCGAACCTATAGAGAATTAAAAGTTTCTCAGGCATGAATAACCAAGGCTGCAAAAGAACTCCTGTTATGCCATAATAGCTATAGTTTACTTACATCAAGAATCTGAAGATTCTCATTTTCTTGCTTAACGAGAAGCTTTTCATTGAATTGCTCTATGAAGTCAACCTTCTTATTTCGATGAAGTAGATGGTTGAAGGCTTTGAGAACTGTGCCATCTTCTATTGATAGAATCTTCAGCGGAACATGGCTACTAGCTCTATTGAAAATCAACAGCATGATGCCTGGGCTGTTACAAACAATAGAAATGATGGGGTAAGGTGAATACAGAAGAATCATTGAGGACTTAAGCATAAATATTAGTTTGTGTGAGACATAGTCAGCAAACTATGGATAGCAAGCAAACTGTTTCAACATAGACTGGGGGGAAGAAGAGGGAGAGATACCTGATCTTGATTTCTTGTACATGTTTGTCTGATATAGAGTAAAGCATGGTATAGTTCTTAAGGTCAAACACCTTGTATATACTGGTTCAATACCCCCCAAAAAGGAAAATCTGTTAGTATCTTAATGGATTTGATAATCGTATATTAGAAATGCTACAAAACGAAATATACCTGTCTTGTGCAGAGTATGTTAGCACCTTGCCATTAACATCATCAAACTCCACAAACCCAGGCCACTTTAAAGACTCAGACTCGAAAAGAGAAAATCCAGCATCTGGCTGGCCCCTCCTTATATACCTAGCCAATGAATAGACAATACCTGAACATAAGAAATAGATAACCTATGAAGGCATTGAAAAAGCTAAACATAAATGTTAAATAAGATCTACCCACTCAATCCTTGTGGATCTGCATTTCAAAGAGCTGAAGTTGTCTGAGGCATAGACCGAAACTGTGATGAGCGAATCGTTGTTCTTATTATAGAACAAGCTCCGAATGACTTCATCAGGGCTTACATTCAAGAAACATATCCTCTCGTTTTTCTCTGCAATATGAATAGCCAACAGAGAATAGGTAACAATGCAGGCACGATGAAAGCTTTTTTCTGTTTTGTTTGATCAACTGGTTTACGTAGGTTCTCCCCACAATTGGGTCTTAACGGGTTGGGTCCAGATTTTGGATTTTCTCATAATGATAAAACTGTATTCAGTCTTGTTTCTACTTTTCTAGTCATTTTAAATCTTATTTTTACAAATCGGATCTTCTGTCATTTAATTGTGTATCTCCTCCTTCAATTCCTTTGATTTATCATTCCTGAAAAATGATTGACTAACCTAACCTATTGCAATATTTGCTACCTTGGGAAAATATATACAGAACATATTGTTATGCATTTGGTAAGATATTTATTTCAGTTAGGAATGTTATTACCTCTGCTAAAAGCTGCGCAAACACCTGAGTGTGCAAGAGCAAATACGATGTCACGTGCAGCAACTATCTCAATAACCCTTGTCCTCTTCATCAGAAAAGACAATACGGGGGAAGAATGCCCCTTGGGATCATGAGTATCATATTCCTCCTGAATCAGTAATGAACTAATTAGATATCAAAAAAAGAAATACAGCCATTGATAATCCCCCTTGTTATGTTTGACAGATACAGCTAATGCTTATCATTAATGTCAGCTTTACAGTTTCAACAATAAAAGAAAAACTGTTGGGTCATAACTTGAGCTTCTTAATGCTCCGTAATACGTGGAGTAGACAATTAATGAATTCTCGTTCTCATTGGCAAGTTCTCACAGGGGAAGATTTAGTAAGAAATTAATATGATCACAAAGTTTAACCCAAGGCCAGCTTCACCAGAATCTAAACACACAAACCCAAGGCAATGAAGAAGTATATAAACCAAGGTGATAACTATGACTCAGGTTGGAAACAGCAGATCATCACATCTCTCAAATGAAAACATCTGCAAAGAATCAGGATTCTCAATTCGAGAAAAAAAATTGTCAGTAAAGAATTCAAATTTTAATTATTTTAATTTTCTTATAAGAATTCTTCTAAGTTGTAGCCCAGCCAAATAGTTCAAATGTTACATGCACTGCCAAAAAACAGAAAGGAAAAAAAACAGAACTAATCATCATGAATTTAGTAAATTTATGATATGCAATGAGAACCGCACGCTTCCAAAACCTAGAAAGTGATTTGAGATTGAAAAATTGAAATTGCATTGGATACATGCGAGCTATGAAAAACTGAGGTCGAGCAATTGAACATCAGTAGAAATACAACGAAAATGAAAACCAGACCTTGAGATGCATGTTGCGAAATCTCTCCTGGGCATTGCTGAGGCCAAAAACTCGATCACGCTTTGAAGAAATCTCACGCCTCTGAAGCTTCTTCACGCTGTTTACAATCCCATCCGAGCGAGCCCTCTTCTTCTTCGCCAATATTCTGCGACCCGAGCATGGCCGAGGACTCGCCGATATCCTTCTTCCCACTTCCATTCTCAACTCTCAGATTCTGATTTCATACAAACGCATATCGCATATGTATATATATATATTTGAAATTATACCAGTATATGCGTTTGTGATGGTTTCTATTAGATTAAATGGAACCCTTTTAGATCACAACAAGCCCCCCAGAACCCTAATCTTCAGAAATTTGGTTCTCTGGAGAGCGCTGGTGGGTGTTTGGGTGTGGGGTTGAAATTGGGAGAGGAAGGAGAAAAAGAATGTCCCTTGAAAAAGTGTCAGAGCCAGCAATGGAGAGGAGAGAGAGAGACGGAGAAAGAGATAGATATATATATATATACTTATATGAAATTCAGAATAAAATAAGCATTAAGAAATAAACAGGTGAAAATGTAGGCATGTTTTTTCAGATATGCGTAATTAATTAATTTCTATTTTCAGTTTTTTCGAAATTTTGAACATGCCCCGCCAATCTGCCAATCCGCCAATCCGCCAAATGTAAAATTCCACTTTCATTCTTTTCCTCCATTTTGTTGTTTATTATTCTCACATTATCACATACCAGCAAGGATGTAATTTTTTATTTTATTTTATTTTTTTCTTTCTACAAGTTGTTTATTAGAAATTAAGACGTATTAGATCATATTCGAGTAAGTGTTTGATATGAAAGTAGGAGAAAATGTCTTCTAGCCTATTAGAAGAGTTGGGTAAGGAAGTAGATTCTAAGTTTCGTGTTTGATGTATATTACACGAATCAGAAAGCTCTTAATTTAGTGGTACTTCTCTAAGTTCTTTTCTCTCATTTACGTTCTAATTTTCGTTAGCGAGCAAAACTGAAATAAAAAAGACAATCGGATTGCTAACCCAATTTGGAGGCTAAATTGCAACATCATATAAGTACCAAATCGATAGATTAAAATCACTGCATTCTACATCTTGGATAGAGTTTGAATTCAAACTCCATCCAACACATAAACTAATTCGGCGGCAGAGCCTATGGCTGAAGCCCCACCTCTTTCAAGAAGAGAAAGGGCCAGCTCACATTCATACCACCCTCTCAATCCACCGGCTAATTTCTTCAACGTCTCCACCTTCACTTCCTGAATCCACGCCGGAGCAAAGTTCACC